CAGCAGGGGGTGTGTCCACTCATGATGGGGAGGAGAGAGTGAGCCAATCAGCAGCAGGGGGTGTGTCCACTCATGATGGGGAGAGAGTGAGCCAATCAGCAGCAGGGGGTGTGTCCACTCATGATGGGGAGGAGAGAGTGAGCCAATCAGCATTAGTGGGCATGTCCACTCATGATGGGGGAGGAGAGAGTGAGCCAATCAGCATTAGTGGGCATGTCCACTCATGATGGGGGAGGAGAAAGTGAGCCAATCAGCAGTAGGGGGTGTGTCCACTCATGATGGGGGAGGAGAGAGTGAGCCAATCAGCAGTAGGGGGCGTGTCCACTCATGATGGGGAGGAGAGAGTGAGCCAATCAGCAGCAGGGGGTGTGTCCACTCATGATGGGGAAGAGAGAGTGAGCCAATCAGCAGCAGGGGGCGTGTCCACTCATGATGGGGAAGAGAGAGTGAGCCAATCATCAGTAGGGGGCGTGTCCACTCATCAGTAGGGGGCGTGTCCACTCATGATGGGGGAGAGAGAGCAAGAGGGAAGAAAATGCTGAGAGAAAAGGTTAGAGGAACATCACTGGAAAAGTTAAGGTAATGATCAGGCAAGAGCTTTAGAACCCGCGTTAATATTAGAAAAGCTTTCCAGCGCTGGAGAGACTGAAGCGGGAAGGCCTAAAAACAGACGGCAAGGTTGTGTTGTTTCTGCTTCACCGGAGTAACATTGGTTTTTGCTTTTTTACAGAACCAAGATATGCTGTTGTTGTAATGTTAGCTATAGTAACACATGTCAGTTTTTATTTATTTATTTATTTTTGTCAGGAGCCGCTGTGCTGCTGGCAACTAACAACAAACTCTTGTTTGTATACACACTTGTTCTGTATCGTCACCTTTGCTTTATTTTTTGTGAAGCATTTTGCTTTGCTTTAGCTATGATAAAGAGACATCCATTTTGTTCATTTTAGGGTAGGGATGTGTTTGTTTGGGATGATTTTAAAATCAGCAGTTTGTCAGGAATCACGTACTGCACCTTTAAGAGAACTAGATGGTGAAATGGCTGTAGATGGTTTGCCAATCACACACCAGTTTGCAAATAAATACAAGAAAGAGGACCAATCACTATTCAGTATGCAAATATTACAATAATGTCATACTACTTTTAATAAATGTTTGTGCATAAAGCAGATCTGTGTGAATTATTTGGGTTTGCGTAATGATTGTATTTTTGTGTTGCGTTACAGAGCTCCAGCTAGCTTCGTATGAGAGTGAAGGTCCTGAAAACAACCTGGAGAGGGACACTCGCCGTTCGCTCAGGTCTTAACTCTTTTCCAAAAACCCTTGTTCCAGACATTCAGTTGTCATTTTTAAACCGCAATGACCTGCCACGAGTGTGTGTGAAGGCTCAATTTCATTTGGCTTTTGTTTCCCAATTCCTCTAGGTCGTCCCTTAGTAGAATGTGAACGCTGAATTTGGGATCGTGTCCTTACACACGGACTGATGGCACTGAAGACTTTGAAGGACTTTTATAATCATTACACTTTTCTGTGGTTTCATCGCTGAAATTGAGGCTGGATTCTCATTGTAACAGTAACACTATGCTAAAGGAAACGTATTCATCTCATTTACCTCAAGTACCTTAATGAAATGTGTTGCTATACGCTATAGATCTCCTGGGTGAATTAAGAGCATGTCGCTGGCTGACCTGTTCTGTTATTACATTGTTTTTGTTTGTTTGTAGTAAGTGGTATTAACAGTTTGTGAACATATTTGTTACAATATTAAAATCTATTTTTGTGTGTATTACAGTTTAATGTGATCAGTGTACATGTTTCCCTGTAAAGGATAAATGAATTAAAGCTGATTCTTGTGTGGTGTCTTTTTTTTCACACTTCATTCATACAGCTTTTTATTGTTATTATTTTTTATCTCATTTCTTTTTTTGTTTCGTTTTTGCATACATGCATAGACAGTATAAGAAGTGGACAGAGCCATCTCATTGGAACTCAGTTGAGACAGTTGAAGCCCATTTTTAGCGATTTTTGAGCACTTCCGTTCCGCCAAAATGAATGGGAGTCAATGGAAATGCTAACGCAAGTGAAGTTCTGCTACAACATGGCGGCACCCGGCCGGCTTCAACTTCCGGTCGATGGATTACCCCCTTGCATACATGAGCGTTATTCGTTTGTTACTGTAGAGATGGATAGCAAGTAAACAAGTACTCGTGCACCACCTAGTGTCCAACACTATTGCTGCAACAACTTCTGGTAGCCAATTTAGAAATAAAACCATTTAAATACATGAATTCAACATAAGAATCGGTTAGTGCCTTTTAGGATTCTTTCACAAAGAATTTCAAGATTAATGCTGTTATATGAAACAAATATTTGCACAACATTTTATTTACAAGTACAATAAAACAGTGATGACAGGAATGTTTTTGGACGGCATTTGTACCATTGATGCTTTCAACCGGCATTTTTTTTATTCTTATTTCACTAAATAAATGAGTTTTCAACATAAAGGGGCATGAAATGTAAAATACAGTGTGTTATTATAAATAGGATTTTATTATTTACAAGATAAAGTCGCTCAATTTTGCCAGATTTACCTGAATAAGGATTTTATAAAAGTGTATCATACAATTAAAAAAACGATCAAATCTAATAATAAGACCTTATGTAGCCCCGCCCCCTTTCAGCGCTGCACTCGTTGTGTTCCGTCTTCCAGTTTGTATTTCCACAGCTTGAAGGTAAGATCATACAGATTTATGAATGAACCGCTCATTCGATCTTCCCGGTCTACAATGCTCATGACAAATTTCATGAACTCTACAATAAGTAAATCCACTTCACCTGCTAAATACTCGTCGACAGTGAATATACAAAGCTACCGCAAAAACGTTAGTTCAAATACCAAATTCTAAAGATCCTGCGCACTTGTTCCTCTATAGCATAAGGTCTGCCCAGTTCCGGCCCACATCTGGTACACGTTGAATCCAGATGTGGGCTGGATTCTGGGCCGACACAATGTTGCTGTCTGGGTGTAAATATAAGTCGTAATGTTTAGTGAGTGATGCCCCTGGGTACCCAGACAGCAACATAGTGTCGGCCCATCTGGGCCGTGTGGAATCCAAGTATACCAGATGTGGGCCGGATCTGGGCCGACACTATGTTGCTATCTGGGTAAGTACCGAGTTTTCACTTAAATTCATTGGGCCTAGAACAAAATGAGAAAACTACACTCAGAGGACCTAGTGGACCTCATTCACATTCCCTAATCCCTGATGATGGCATTGACCAATGCTACAATATACAGGTCCTTCGCAAAAAATTAGCATATTGTGATAAAGTTCATTATTTTCCATAATGTAATGATAAAAATTAAACTTTCATATATTTTACAATCATTGCACACCAACTGAAATATTTCAGGTCTTTTATAGTTTTAATACTGATGATTTTGGCATACAGCTCATGAAAACCCAAAATTCCTGTCTCAAAAAATTAGCATATTTCATCCGACCAATAAAAGAAGTGTTTTTAATAAATAAATAAAAAAGTCAACCTTCAAATAATTATGTTCAGTTATGCACTCAATAGTCAATACTTGGTCGGGAATCCTTTTGCAGAAATGACTGCTTCAATGCGGCGTGGCATGGAGGCAATCAGCCTGTGGCGCTGCTGAGGTGTTATGGAGGCCCAGGATGCTTCGATAGCGGCCTTAAGCTCATCCAGAGTGTTGGGTCTTGCGTCTCTCAACTTTCTCTTCACAATATCCCACAGATTCTCTATGGGGTTCAGGTCAGGAGAGTTGGCAGGCCAATTGAGCACAGTAATACCATGGTCAGTAAACCATTTACCAGTGGTTTTGGCACTGTGAGCAGGTGCCAGGTCGTGCTGAAAAATGAAATCTTCATCTCCATAAAGCTTTTCAGCAGATGGAAGCATGAAGTGCTCCAAAATCTCCTGATAGCTAGCTGCATTGACCCTGCCTTTGATAAAACACAGTGCACCAACACCAGCAGCTGACATGGCTCCCCAGACCATCACTGACTGTGGGTACTTGACACTGGACTTCAGGCATTTTGGCATTTCCTTCTCCCCAGTCTTCCTCCAGACTCTGGCACCTTGATTTCCGAATGACATGCAAAACTGAGCAACAGTCCAGTGCTGCTTCTCTGTAGCCCAGGTCAGGCGCTTCTGCCGCTGTTTCTGGTTCAAAAGTTGCTTCACCTGGGGAATGCAGCACCTGTAGCCCATTTCCTGCACACGCCTGTGCACGGTGGCTCTGGATGTTTCTACTCCAGACTCAGTCCACTGCTTCCGCAGGTCCCCCAAGGTCTGGAATCGGTCCTTCTCCACAATCTTCCTCAGGGTCCGGTCACCTCTTCTCGTTGTGCAGCGTTTTTTGCCACACTTTTTCCTTCCCACAGACTTCCCACTGAGGTGCCTTGATACAGCACTCTGGGAACAGCCTATTTGTTCAGAAATTTCTTTCTGTCTTACCCTCTTGCTTGAGGGTGTCAATGATGGCCTTCTGGACAGCAGTCAGGTCGGCAGTCTTACCCATGATTGCGGTTTTGAGTAATGAAACAGGCTGGGAGTTTTTAAAAGCCTCAGGAATCTTTTGCAGGTGTTTAGAGTTAATTAGTTGATTCAGATGATTAGGTTAATAGCTTGTTTAGAGACCCTTTTCATGATATGCTAATTTTTTGAGACAGGAATTTTGGGTTTTCATGAGCTGTATGCCAAAATCATCAGTATTAAAACCATAAAAGACCTGAAATATTTCAGTTGGTGTGCAATGAATCTAAAATATATGAAAGTTTAATTTTTATCATTACATTATGGAAAATAATGAACTTTATCACAATATGCTAATTTTTTGAGAAGGACCTGTATAACAATGTTTCACACTTAATGAGAATTATATTTCAATTTGAGGTTGACATTGGATATATATTTTTGAAAAATATTCAAAAGCAATTTTCAAAATGCTTATTTTGGTAGGAGGAACAGAAATTTTTTTTTTCACCACAAACTTATGCATGAGAGGTCATGTGACGCGACAGGTGATGACGCTCTCTGAACGCTTCCTTGCATATCGGACACTTCAGCCTCTCGTCCTTGTGCCTCGGCTGCTTCTCATCCGTCGTCGCCCTCTTGTGGTGGGACCTCATGTGTTGCACCAGGTCAGATGTCATATGGAAAGAAATGTTACATTTAGCACACCAGTTTTGCAGAGGTAGACCAAGAGAAGATAGAGAGGGAGGCAGTAGCGTCTGCAAAGGCGTAGCGCGAGCTTGCTGCAGCCGGGAGGTCTTGGGCCAAAGGTTTGCGCTGGGAGGAAGAGACAGTTTGGGAAGGTCCTTATATAGCAACGCAGAGCCCTGGAGGTTGAGTGGTATAAATCTGGGGAGGATAGCTGTCTGGTTAGGGGTGGTGTAGATGGGAAGACTGGCTGGCATCAGTGGGACATGTGGTGTGGTGCGTGGAGGTTGCGTGAACGCGCTCTTCCTGTTCTTGTCACGTGGAACATCACACGTCCCTCTAGTGAAGAATGCAGGCTTGGCTGCTATTGTAATAGGCTTTAAATCCTGCCTGTCTGGGTCTGTCCTGCTGTTGTCATGGCTTTGTGATGGGCTGCACTGAGAATTACGGCCCTTGCTGAAAGACTGTTTGCTGGCAGACGACCAGGAATGTCTATTCACTCCATTAACACAAAACCTTTTCACGGATACCTTTTCATCTCCATGGCTGTCGAAAGATGACGGTTCGCCGTCACTCTCATCTGTGTCTGATTCAAGAGAACGTCTTCTTTTACTGCTCTTCGCATCTACGGGTCGATTTTTTTTGCAATTCTCCAGCTCTCGCGCTAAATTGTGGAAGTCCGTGGTAGGTTTGCTACTCAGTGGATGGATTTCTGGGATGGTGAGTTTCTGCGGAAAGCATGTAGGTTTCTCCGTGCAGAAAAATCTCTGGTGTGCCAATAAAGGGAATTCAAAGAGAAAGCTCTGTTTGCATTCAGAGCAAGCGAAACCTTAAAAAGAGAAAGACGGATAAAAAGTCAATTTGCATTCATTTCAATGAAACATTTAGGAATTAATAGTAGGTTGTGACAAGTCATTGAATCGTTCACTTAACCATTTCTTTCAATAACACTGATTTACTTCTGATCGAGTCATTGAATCATTCATTCAACTGATTCATTAAAAACACTGATGCATTCAGGAACAAAACAAGTGACTGTCCAACGCTATCTCACGACCAATTTGTGATTAAAAGGTGGCTAATTCATACTAATTCATACGACCTCACTCGTACGAATTGGTACATTTGTCTAAACCCACGTGATGGGTAGGTTTAGGGGCGGGGTCAGGGGTAGGTCATTCGTACAAATTCATACGAATTTGGTAACTTGTAAAATGTGTACGAATTAGCAAAAATCGTGCGAATTTGTACGAGTGAGGTCGTATGAATTAGTACGAATTAGCCACCTCGTAAAATTCGTACGAATTAGACACCTCATAAAATTCGTACGAATTAGCCACCTCGTAAAATTCGTACAAATTGCCGTGAGATCGGACTGGACTGTCTATATGAGTTAGTCATTGAATCATTCACTTAATCGATTTGTTCAAAAACACTTATTCTTTCTGAAACCAAACACGGCGTTCAATAAAATGCAGTTCTATAAATATATAATGCATTCATACCTTGTGTTTTCTTTGTGCTAAGACCAAGCAGTTTGGCTAGATCTCTCCCATACCAAGCTAAAAGCTCAGTGTTTTCAGGAATATCCTTTATGGCTCTGAAACATAGATGTCCGTTCTTCATAAACGCCTCTAGATTTTGTTCCTCTGCGCTCCTAGCCGCCTGAATCATCTGCAGACATTCGCTGGCCGCTGATGGGTCGATCTGAACAATGCAAAAGAACATGTCCTTAAGATCTGAAAATTCACGCATTTACGTCAAATTACGTCCAATTTATTTGCATCATTTATAATAACACATATGGTAGATCGCTGTCACATGGTGAAATGGCCACAAGGGCTATATCTTAGTAACTTTAAGGTTTTCTGTCCAAATTGCAATCACACAAATCCTGATTTTCTCTAGAAGTGGTTTTGTACATTGGTTCAAAACTTAAAGGTACACTATGTAACTTTTTTTTTGTTCAAAAAAAAAAAAAAAAAAAAAATGAGTAAATGCATCAATCCTTCTTCCAAAACATATTTTTGACTTACTCTGATTCACTAAGCCTATTATAAGTGTTTATATTTTAGATCTGACATGGTGGTTTTCACAGGAAATTGTCACTCGCCCGTGCGCATCTCGTCATATTCGTAAATAGACACTGTGTTTGACTTGAAGTGGCGCTGCTCAGACCGATCAGTGTATGACATCAAAGTACCGTGAGAGGTGTTAGAGAGCAGACGGCTCAGTGTGATTTTGAATCACTCTCGTGGTAATTTGATGTCATACACCGATCGGTCTGCTGTTTCAAGTATAGAAACAGCTCTATAAAAACAATAAAAAGTTGAACACACAATGCACACCTCATTATAACCTCTAACCCTATCCCACACTCTAACAGGCTTTTGAAGAATTATAAAGACCTTTCGGCATGCCCAAGAATACCCACACTTGAAGAACGCTAAATCATAAACCTCAGGGGAATCACCGGTTTTAAAAAAAACGTGAGGAGAGTCTGCTGGCAAAATGAAAACGTGACAGAGCTTGTAATAAATTGAGAATCAACATTGGCTTTTCGGAGATGGCGAGAGCTGAAGGATTTGAAATGTTGTAAAGGCATTTTTATTACTCTCTAACAGATATTGTTGTAAAGCATTGTGAAGGGTTATTCATATGGCTGTGCTGTATTTATATTGTAAATACAGCATTTATATTGTAGTGCTGTGCTGAAATTCATTTTCAAGGAAGGACTATTTTTTGTCTATTAATGGCTTTGGCTACAGAAATGTCTTGAGTTAGTCCGCTTGAGATCATTTCCATCCAAACTGTTTATCTCTTAAGCCTTTATGAGTAGGATAAACTCTCTCTCTCGTTATGAGAAAGAACCATGTTCATCTGCACAGTCACACATTATTATTCATAATGTATATACATATGTATATATGTATATATTAATAATAGCTAGGAAAACACTGCACTGACATACATTCAGACAAGAGCCAATTATCTAACAAAGGAAGATTTTAATCCATTTTAATCGGTTTTTTTTTAATAATGTCAGGTCGGAGAAAGTTGTCATGTGCTTTATATGTTTTTTTTTTAATTATATGTTTTATATGTAATTATTCCAAAGACACTTGTTTTAGTGTTATTTTTACTTGTTCGTTTCTATTAAAGTACTTGTTTCACTGTTTATATATATTTATATATAGGTCCATTGGTTACAACAGCTTTTAATATTTGAAAAAGACCTGTTATTTTAGATAAAGGTAAAGTTTTCAAATGCAAAACAAGAGGTTTCCCTGCTGAATGAACGTATCTTTTTCCTATAGGCAATAATAGTGGAAATTTCATATAGGCCTAGCCTAGAAAACCTTCGGGTATATGTCATATATACAGAAAACATTTTTCATCCTAAGAAATCTTCTCTGTGTAAAAGAGTGACAAAGAGTGGTGGCAAGTCATTCATTAAAGCGCGCATACCTGGAGCACGCAGGCAGTAGCGCGTCTGTCCGCGCACTTGCAGGCGATGAACGCGACGCTGTCCCACAGAGAGGTGTGTGTAACAGCACAGGGACCGAGCACAGCTCCTGCGGGCACGGCTCGAGAGGTCACGATACTGCTCAGCGCGTTTCTGAGCGCGGCGTCCAGCAGAGAGCGCGCGCTTTGCTCGGGACCCTGAGACAACACTTTCAAAATCAAATTCATTTCCTGTATGTTTTTATATAGTGGATTTGATCATAAACGCATCTTACCATTTTAATCCACAGCACAGATAAAATCCTCTCCGCTGAGAGTCCTGACTCCTGATCCAACTGGATGCTCTGAGCGATGATTCTTAAATTATAAGCGCAATCATTTATCTGCGGGAAACAGTGACAAGACTCCGCCCTGATCCTTCTGACCTCTGGTCCCTCTGTGCTCTTATCCCTAATACGAGTCGTTCTGGTTCAGTGTCGCTTATCATGGATGTGTGTGCCTGATCTTTGGCTCAAACGTCTAACCTGACATTGCTGAGATGAGCTCATTACTGTCATATTAACAGCAGTGCGCTCAGGCGTTAATGATCACTTAGCGCTGCAGGCTATTATTCACATGCAGATACAGGCCGAGGTGCCCTATACTATCTATCTATCTATCTATCTATCTATCTATCTATCTATCTATCTATCTATCTATCTATCTATCTATCTATCTATCTATCTATCTATCTATCTATCTATCTATCTATCTATCTATCTATCTATCTATCTATCTATCTATCTATCTACATCCACCATCCATCCATCCCTAATGCATGTATGTGTTCATTCATAAACAGCACAAACACATAAATAAAGAGATAAATATGAGGTATAAACTATATGAAGCAAGATTTTGTTTAATACCCCTCACAAAAATACTGTGGAATCATGATGCTGGGATTCATTTACATGTAGCCTACTCTGGTTCAAGTACAAAACACCATAGGCCTACATGTTACTTTCTAGTATTTTTTACGTGTTCAGATTTACTCAGAGAGAGTAAAAGATGCAAGTATGCGTATTTGGCGTGCTGTCCGAGGAGAGGGCTCCGAGCTCGGTTTTGGCCCGAACCTAGAGTACTGTGATAGGAATGTGATAAGAACCAGCCAGAGTGAGGAGTCGGGGTGGCGGAGGGATGCTGAAAACTGCCGAGTAACGTAGTACAGTAGGTGAGTCGACTGCATATAGGTCTCCTCTCATGCTGATTGGATATAGTCGTGTTGATTGGATAGGTTACGTTCTAGGGCGCCCCCTACTTCCAGTTTCACTGGTTCCCCTGGGGGTCCCTAACACTAAACCGCTCCAATTCTAAATTAGGCTATATGGACCCCCTAAAACCGCAGGGCGTAAACCATACGTGCTTATGAAGATAATTATCCTTTTATTTAAATTAAAGAAAACCGTAATATAACAAGATGCCATTATATAATACGGAGCCCCTAAACGGACATGGTGAAGATGATGAGTTGATGACGGAGAAAAAATATGTTTTGCGTTCCCCCGAGAAACTTTGTGTTCCCTCACAAAAACTTGTGCGTTCCACCCATAGACTGAAAAAAAGGTTCCACCAAGAAACTTTGTGTTCCCTCGCCTCGCATTGCAAAAACGTTTGCATTCCCACGAGAAACTTTGTGACGTGAGTCTGACAGTGATTGACAAAAGCTAATCAAATGACCTAGCTACTTTTTTTTAGTTGTTGATCACTGTTAACACATGCTATACACCTTAATACTGTGTGATATCAAACACAGATGCAAATTTATAAATCGCGCAAATTTCCTCTTGTTATTGTTGCCAAAGGCCTTTGCTTTTCGCATGGTGCTCTCAAATCTGTCCCGGTCTGATCTTCCATCACACGCTCTTGTATGAGCGCAACAGCACATTCAGCGCATGCGCACTAATCATGTGTTCCTCTGTCTGCATCTGCAATGTAAACCGGACCCGCTTTCATTAAGATAGAAAAAACTTTACGGAATGAAATTTATCTCGAGTGGAGGAGACGGCTATTTGAAAACAGGAGAAAACGAATAACAATTCTCGAAGGCCGCAGCAGGAGTGTCTTTTTAAAGAGTGTGTTATTGTTCGATGGTGTGAGAGCGCGCGCTGTCATGCAGGAGTAAACTGCGCGCGGTCCGTCCACGCGCGTCAACTGGATTTCTACTACTAGATTTGATGTGTTCCCCTTAACAGCGACGTGCAGTACATGACAGGAATGAGAGGAGACAGCGATCATGCCATTAAAGCCACTTGGGTCCTCCAACTTTTCTGCATGTCTCTCCTGACTTCATTTGGGAAAGGAGAAGATGGCTCTTGCCATGGAGCCTTTGATTTATATTTTGTGTTGGATCGGTAAGTTTGACAGCATCGACTGTATGTCTATATTTTATAGGCTGTATGTTTATAAAACGTGCAAACACACTCTCTTTCTCTTTGTGCTTGCTCATCTGACTGAAATAGTATCAATGAAATGAATAACTCCAGTGAGCTCATTATTATTCCTGGTATTTTTAGGTAGCCTACAGTTTATTTATTTTTTCTACAAAGCTCTCAGGAGCCCTTATATGGCCCTGTTTCTCCTCTAAACTAAAGCACTCTGTTCTCCATCATTCTAGGTCAGGCAGTGTGTCTGACAACTGGCTGGAGATCTATACATTTGTGGAACAACTTACTGATCGTTTTGTGAGGTAAGAGACAATGTTAAAATCTTTTTAAAGTTGCTTTTTTTTTTTTACAAATATATAACATAACTAAAGCTATCGGGTGGGTTATAGAGTTTCAGCACTACAATGTAAAAAATATGATCAATAAGTTGACAACATTATGTTTTTACATTGCTTTAACTCATCAAAATAAGTTAAGCAATTTTCAACTCATTTTTAAGTCAGTTTAATGTAATTTAAGTTGGAATAACTTAAACATCCAAGTTGATTGTACATTTATAGGCAGCTGCCTGGTTTCAAACCACTTGTATGAGTCTCAACCTCTTGCACATGTGTGGAACTAAATATAAACTTAATTTTAGATTACTATGTTTAACTTTAGTATGTGTACGATGTGTGTTTGGATTAGTGTGTGGTATGGTGACCTAGTTAATGCGAGTTTGGGCATGAGGGCACAGTGGTCAACCTCAAATAGTGTCACAGTAGTAATTACACCAATTACTTACTAAATAGATATATCAGACTATTTCAGAAAACAGTCATTATGTCTTACCCACCCATGAGAGTAAATTTGGTTTAACATTTCATGATTGTTTCTACTTCCTTTAGCCCGAAAATGAGGGTGTCCTTCATAGTGTTTTCCTCTAGTGCAGAAGTCGTGTTACCTCTGACTGGAGACAGGTGCGATTTCATTCAGCCTGTTGTGAGTCGTACTGTAGTGTTGTTGATATAAATCCTACTGTAAGCATAAAGCTGATGTTTTTCCTGGGCATTTAGGGCAGCTATTGATAATGGTCTGCAGAAGTTGAGCGAGATCAGACCTGCTGGTGAAACCTACATGCATGAGGGCTTAAAAAAGGTGAATAGCTCATTCTTAAAAGCATATTGTTTCTAAATGTATGTCAAAGGTCATAACAAAAAATAACATTTTAGGTATTAGAACAAATGACTACCCAGGGAGGAAGAGCATCTAGCATCATCATTGCACTGACTGATGGGAAGCTGGAGGTCTTTCCGCATGACCTCGCTGTGAAAGAGGTAAAGCAGCACAACACGTACAGTATATGGAATATTTATGTTGCATAACCTATGGAAGCACTTACATGAAAATGATGTACTGAGAGAAAATCTGTCCACCTTATTTTTGCAATACAATTGTAAAATGTTGAAATGTTTGGCATTTACATAATTATTATCTACATTCGTTTCTTTTTTAAATAAAATGTAATAATTGAATGAAGTAATGAATGAATTGGCCGTGTGCTTCCTCAGGCGGATCAGGCGAGGCAGTTTGGTGCTCGGGTTTATTGTGTTGGCGTGAAGGACTTTGATGCAAACCAAGTAAGACGTTTCAACAAAGACACGAAACCTGCTGTGGAATATACTATAAAAAAACACTTAATATTAAATGCTATCAAATGTTTAAAACTAACACTAAATATTAGTGCTGTCAAATCAATTCATCGCAAATAACCGCATCTAACATAAAAGTTTGTAAATATAAAATATATGTGTGTGTGTGTGTTGTGTGTGTGTATAAATATGTACAAACTTTCATGTTAGATGAGATTAATCGCGATTAATCGATTTGACAGCACTACTAAATATTTAAGACATACATTTTTCACCTATTGGATAATAAAACGGATGAAAAATCCCAAAAAAGTACATTGAAGGAGGGACCTGAGCAGAAAAAAAACACTCAGAACACCTTAGCAACCACATAACAGCCTGGCAACCACCTAGAACACCCTATTTACTCCATAGCAACGTGCCAAAAACCACTCAGAACTCCTTAGCAACCACATTACAGCCTTTCAATCACCTAGAACACCCTATCTACTCCCTAGCAACATGCCAAAAAACACTCAGAACACCTTAGCAACCACATAGCCTAGCAACCACCTAGAACACCCTATCTACTCTATAGCAACACACAAAAGAAAAACACCTTAGCAACCATATAGCTGCCTGGCAACCACCTAGAACACCCTATTTACTCCATAGCAACGTGCCAAAACCACTCAGAACACCTTAGCAACCACATAGCCTAGCAACCACCTAGAACACCCTATCTACTCTATAGCAACATACAAAAGAAAAACACCTTAGCAACCATATAGCTGCCTGGCAACCACCTAGAACACCCTATTTACTCCATAGCACTGTGCCAAAACCACTCAGAACTCCTTAGCAACCACATTACAGCCTGTCCACCACCTAGAACACCCTATCTACTCTATAGCAATGTGCCAAAAACCACTCAGAACACCTTAGCAACCACATAACAGCCTAGCAACCACCTAGAACACCCTATCTACTCTATAGCAACATACAAAAAACCACTCAGAACACCTAAGCAACCACATTACAGCCTGGCAATCACCTAGAACACCCTATCTACTCCCTAGCAACTTCCTAAATTCCACTCAGAATACCTTAGCAACCTCATAGCAACACCTTGACAACCACCCACACCACACATTTCACACAGCCCAACACAATTTTCTACAGAAAATGTAAAAATCTAGTTTCTGACATTCTCTTTTGTCTGAATCTATTGTAGTCCATCAGTTGTTGGTGTATCGCTTATAATTGCTGTCATGGGAAGGTTGTTGTCATGACGATATTCTTTTTTTTTTCTGTGTGCATTAGTAGCAGCATTAGTGTAACAGAGGGATCCTTTATATTGACTCTGCTGGATGTGTTTGTCCGGGCAGGATGATGCTGAGTGTAATTGGATTCTGCAGAGCACATGTCCGGCTCATTTTACATTAGCTAGAGATTGATTTTGGCCTGGGAAATGGTAGCAAGATTGCTTCAAGAATGGGGACATACAGAGACGCGTGATCCTGAAAAAGCTAATTTCTGACATGATATGCCAGTTTTTGACGTATATGTTCATAATCAGCTTGTAGATATTGCAGACAGCAAAGATCAAGTGTTTCCTGTTGTGGATGGATTTCATGCCCTCAAAAACATCGTAAACTCGGTGAGGTTTTGTGCAAGCGAGCAAAAATTGCATTTATTACATGCGGTTTTTATGCTGCCTTCTAATTGAGTTGTATTTGCGTTTACAGATTTTAAAGAAATCCTGCGTCGAAATTTTTAACCTCGAGCCCTCCAGCATTTGCGTGAATGGTACGTCTAAAAAGGTCCATGTAAACCAGATTTGATCCCTTCTGGACTCATGACCATGACTTATTTCAGTGTAAACATTGTGTTTTAGAATCGTTCAACATAGTTTTGAGAGGAAGGGGCTTCACGCAGGGAAGAACGTCAGAGGGTGTGGTCTGCACATTATCGGTCAATCAACAGGATCCTTACAGTAAGCCATTCAATGCATTCCATCTATATAACAACAAAAATACAAGGCATATAATTCAGCTCCACATTCATCTACTGAATAAGTGGCATGGTAAGCCGCAATGCTATTATTATTATTTTTGTTAGCAAGTGTGATCCCAAAATCCGCATGGCCTCGAGAGGCTCTTGCTCTTTTTAGCCGATGGGGAAGTTGCACGCAGCCACATCCTTAAATAAAGCCTCTTGTGTTTCATCCTGTATTTGGTATTTTACGGCAATCTCATGCTGCTCTCTCTTCCTTCTAGATGAGAGGCCGGGTATAGTGAAGGATAATTACGTGCTGTGTCCAGCTCCAGTGTTGACCGAGGTCGGACAGTAAGTGGCATTCGACCAGCTTCACTTGGGGAACAGTGGCTCTCCATTCAGAGCTACAGCTGTTACAAGCCGGCATGCAAAGGGAACGAGTTCATCATCTTTTCCCGGCGGTTTCTATCTCAGTTTCTGTTTATAGCTTAGCTAACAGACAACTGATAAGAGGCAGGCTCAGGGCAGGGCTGAAACAAAGCAGCGTGTGTGACGGCAGCACATTTTTGTTCGCCAGCTAAAGAGAAATGCGAAATGACCCACCGTTTGCTTTTCGCCATTGCCAAGTTTGTTTGGAACAGATTAAAGGGATTTTTCCCAAACCGAACAACTTCATTCGTCTTGTTGTTTTGAAAAGAATACTTTAGCACAGCGCTGTTGGCCTCACTGTATGACAAACTATGCTCCGCCTTTGCCACTAAATCATTTAATAACGGACTTTCCCTCTCTCAACAGCTCAATCGATGTGCTCATTAGTCTGAATAATGGCCAGTCTTTCATTTCAAGTCCAATCACAATATACGCCAACACATGTGTAAGTACATAATACATTTTTTAGCAAACCAACTAAATTAGCTAAAATTGAAAATATCAGTCAATATCACAATGAACAGTCTAGTTATAGGACACAAATTAAACCAAAGTTTAATGTTCTCCTGAAACATTAGGCTGTGGATACAGCAGGTTCAAGTCAGTGTTCCAAAATACCCTAGAAACCACCAAACAACACCATAGCAACCACCCAGAATACCCTAGCAACCATCCAGAATACCCTAGCAACACCATAGCAACCCCCTAGCAACAACCCAGAACACCCTAGTAAATGGTAAATGGCCACCAAAGCGCTTTACATATTGCCTCACATTCACCCATTCACACACCGACGGCGGTGTCAGCCATGCAAGGCGCCATCCAGCTCGTCGGGAGCAGCTGGGGTTAGGTGTCTTGCTCATGGACACCTCGACACTTGGTCAGGTGGAACCGGGGATTGAACCACCAACCTTCCGGTTTGTAGACAACCTACATGAACCACTGAGCCACTGTCGCCCCTAGTAACACCATAGCAACCACCAGAACACCCTAGCAACCACCTAGCATCCACCTGAACACATGAATTAAGCCATATGTCAGCACCAGAACATCGTACAGACAAGTTTGTTGGTTCGTATGCAACCATGTACCACACCCTAGCAACCGAGTGGTGAGTTTTGCCACTGCAAGCACCACTTCACATTTTCTTCTGGAAATGTACATTCTAGTTTATACTATTATAGTACTTTTTTATTTTTTATTAGTTTTTAAATATATTTTTCATTTTAGTTTAAGTTTTACTAATTGTTACATTTCTAATTTTCGTTTACATTTTTCAACAAAAAAAATAAAAAATATATATATATATTAGTGGTATCAAATCAATTAATCGCATCGAACAAAAGTTTGTAAATATGTAATATATGTGTGTGTGTATATATATATATATATATATATATATATATATATATATATTAGTGGTGTCAAATTGATTAATTGCGATTAATCGCATCTAGTATAAAAGTTTGTAAATATATAATATATATGTGTGTTTCTGTGTGTATATGTATATATATAAATTATATATATATATATATACATATATATTTGGTTTGCTTTATTGTTACATTAATCTTTTCATTTCCCATAGTCTGACGGGATAGTGATTGTCATTGTGATCCTGGTGCTGCTGGTTCTGCTGGGTTTAATTGTGTTCTGGTGGTTCTGGCCTCTCTGCTGCACTGTGGTGAGCACAAGTTCTGTTATTTTCCACACACTTGTGTATATTAATGAGATATTAATAATCACGAGGGCTGTTTTCCTCCTCCTATGGCAGGTAATCAGGGATCCACCCCCATCTCGCCCTCCGCCTCCACGTCCAATACCTGTAGGTACATTGAGACTTGAAATATATTTGAATTAGCTGAATTGGCAATGTCTTGAAATGCTTGGTGTGATGTTATAGGAGCCTGAGGTGGACCCTCTGCCGAAGAAGAAATGGCCCACAGTGGATGCGTCTTATTATGGTGGCAGAGGGCCTGGTGGTATTACACGCATGGAGGTAATGCAACCATCCAAGCAATCCACTGACGGCAAAAACTAAAGTTATATGGTTTAGACGCTTAAGCTTACAACATCCACAGGTTCGCTGGGGTGAAAAGGGCTCTACAGAGGAAGGGGCTCGGTTAGCCAAAGCCAAAAATGCTGTGGTCAAAATGCCAGAGGAGGAGTTTGAAGAGCCTGTAATAAGACCCCCACCCAGACCACCACCGATATATCAGGCCCCAGTCCCAGACAAATGGTACACTCCCATTAAAGTAAGTCTTCTGTGTCAACACATTGGCTTTTTGTTACTGGATGATGTACACAGTATGCAGGGCTTGACATTAACATCCGCCAAATGCGGGTGTATTTCAGCAGTGGTGTGTAACGCAGTCACTCCTACTAGTCACTTTGGCGGGTTGAATTTTAGGCTATATTATAATATATACATTTTTTCAATTGTAGTATTTTTACAAAAGCACCTTAAATAATAGATAATAATAAAAAGTGCAATGTAGTGTTGTCAAAAACGTCTGAAATGCTTAATGCTCATTTTCCACAGAATATACGACACCAGCTGCTCTTTCTCGCTCTCTCATGTCACTGAGTTGATACACAAACCCGCCTCTCCTCACTCACTCATTTGCTTCATTTGCTCCGGATGAATAGTATTGGTGTTAAAGGGCTTGAATTTCACTGTGGGATTGTGCGTATTGTGCATAATTTTACTCATTCCCGCAGATTTTGTGCTTATACCCAAAGTGAGCGCACATAAAGCTGCCTCTCAGTAGTAAATTGAGCTCTTTTTCGCTGTGTATTGCACTTAAACTGTCAAATAAACACAAAATAATGTCTAAATGCCTGTCTTGGCGAGTATTCGCGACGTAAACACAGTTATGTTTTAAGTGAATGTAAACAGTTGAGAAAGAAAATGCATGTGTAACAGTAAAATGGATCTGTGCGTCAGGTCTTAAAGTGACTAATAGGCCTATAATATATCTGCTGCCAAATTATGAGATAATATTAAAAATATCTATATGGCAGTGTTTCCCTATGGTATCAATGTCAAAATTGTGGCCAGTGAAAATGTTGAGTGGCTAGTAACTTTGGAAAACCACTAGCCACAGTGGCTGGTGAGCAAAACAGTTCATGTCAAGCCCTGATAGTATGTATTGGACAATGTCATAATGTGCTTTTGTGTATTTTTGTGTAATTTGCATTTGTAGAGTCGTTTTGATGCTGTGTTAGCATTGCTGCGTAGACAATACGACAGAGTTGCCATCATGAGACCTACAGCAAATGACAAGGTACAGTTGCCATCTTAAGTCAATGAGATTTTCTTTGCAAATCTGTATGTTATCAACAGAAAAAACATAGCTTTTGTTAATTAAATTATTTGCTTAGCAAAGAAGGTTGTTATTGCATGTACTTACTCTAGTAATAACAGTAAATTATGCATAATTACAAGTAACTAACCCTAACCGTAACTATATAATAAGTACATGTAGTTAATTAATATTACTCAGTACTTATTTGAGTAAGTACAATGTAACTACATCACCTTAAAATAAAGTGTAACCCCTGTTTTTCATGTTATTAGATTTGTACAGAAGAAACATAAAAACAAAAAATACTGGTAACGCTTCCTTTTACAGTACAGTACTTACGTGTACTTACAGTGTACTTACCTAGAAAGTACTGGCTAAAATAAGGTAAGTACATGGGTTAGGGGTAGGTTTAGGGGTAGGTTCAGGGTTAGTATCTAGTTATTACCCAGTAATTATAATTACTATAATAAGTACATAGTAAGTACATGGGTAACAGGACTGTAAAAGGAAGCGTTACCAAAATACTAGTCATTACTTAGCTTCATTCCAAAACCTTCCTAGTGAACTAAAATTGGCCATTTGAAACACTCTACATGAGGATCAACACATTTTATATCATACAAACAGCACTCCTCTTACATAAGCCCTATTCGAACGGGACTAGTTTTCTAAACGATGTTTGAGTTACAATTCTTATCACCCAGCAGCATATGTGATTTGATGTACCAATTCGGACAGGTCTAATATCTCTGTTTATTACAGAGGTGGGAGTGTGTGTTTTCTAGATGTGGGCGATACAGAAGGTAAAACAGGCGGTCTTTGCAGCTTCCGTGATTTGGCTGTTTTTTCATTTTAGCATTTTATTTCGTCGTTGGATAACATCCATATTGAAATGAAAGCATGTAAAAGGTTAGTTTGCAAACGGTAGCTCAGGTAGGTCAAAAAACATATGAGAAACGTTAGTATAATACAGTATCGGCAATAACAGCATTCGGATGGGATTAGATTTCTCAGACGACTGTTGAGTTTGCCAAAAAATATTTGTTAGTTTAAAATGAAAAATAGAGGTTGTGTGAGAAAAACAGACATGGCAGATTCGGACAGGATTAAAATCACAAAGTTCGCCTGTGAAACACGAATTTCTTTAACGTCCTCCATGAAAACTAGTGCCGACGGACAAGGGCTATAGACTCAATTCTCATTGATTTCAATAGAATTAGTTGATAGCATGTTGCTAAGCTAACAGCATGATACAGGGCTCGATATCCAGAAATGATTAGCCGTATTTCCACTGTGTGGCCATGTGCGAGCGAGGGCTATAATCAGCCCAAAGTAGGGACTTGAGCGCACAAAAAAACAAAATCCAATACACTATAGTGCGCGCGCAAAAAGTAGACTTATTTCATTTTTTTCAATCATTTCATATTTCTACATTAAAAAAATGTACATTTGAAAACATTAATCTATTAACATAATGTATGCAATTATAATTTGCTGTGGAAATCCATACATGCCATGTCTAAACAGCCTGTGTCAATCCAAAAATGGATTTTATTGATACCGACTTCCTTTTATTTGGTCATAATAGCCATACACCGTGTCTTTGCATTCTGATTGAATTTGTTGACTAAATTTAAGAATCTGACATAAGAGGACAGATAGCTATGACAATGAATTTAAAAATACTGTTTTCTCTTGGCTTTATTATTAGAGTTTTGACCACATCCTGCATTATATTGTATTATAATGATGATGTAATATTAGCCTACCACTAAACTTTGACTATAGGCATGTTGCATATTAATTGTTCTAGGAACCTCAAAGCATATTTGAATTTTTGTGTAATTTGTGCAACTCCATAATGATGTTTGTTGCGTAAGTAGGGCCCAAACATAAACTCAAGCCCAGGGGCCCCGAGCCCCTTAGTCCTGCCCTGATAATAAATGTATAACTGACAAGGTTGCGTTGTTGTTGCAAAGAAACAAATGACCGCAGCACACACAAAAGAAACTCAGTTAACAACATACTGCCTATAAAAATGTAAAATGTGGAGTTTTTATATTTTTAACATATGATAAAGTTAAGCAACCTCACACGACGAGTGTTGTTTCCCTGAACACCATCGCGATTGAAAATGTGACATTGATTTCATACAACAGTTCAATAAACAGTTAAAATTAAGTCACTTACATTTTTGATACAATATTGACTGTTTTTGTTCAGTTTCAGCAGCGAAAATTGTTCCAAACAAAGACCACAGCAGAACCATAGCGCATCTCACTGCAGCATTTGCTTCAGAATAGATTATATTGTATAAAACACATTCCGAACAAGTAACTTTTTTACCCGGACAAGTGAATTACAGATTTACTTGTCTGAAGGACAAGCACATGAAAAGGCTTAATGTCGAGCCCTGTGATACCAAGCATAAAAATACATGCAGTAACACACACAAATTTTATATTTTAATTGAAACTTTTTTTTGTTGATACTTTGTTGAACAAATTACATAATATAATTGGTCATTTCTCTCAAATGGATTTTTTTCACTGAGCTTGTCGCTATGCATTATGGGATTGCTCTGTTTGTTATGCATTCTATGACTTGCCAAAAGAAGGTAGAGTGTTCTAGAAGGGAGCATAATGTCTCTGCCTACCTTAGACAGTGTTGGGAAAGTTCACTTTCTACATGAACTAGTTCAAAGTTCAGTTCACACATTTTAAAATGAACTAGTTCAGTTCATAGTTCATACTTCAAAATTTTTAACTAAGTTCACAGTTCCAAAAAATGAACTAGTTCATAGTTCTTTTTTTCCATATGTTGCTGCAAGCTATTTATTTTGTTTTAAATTATTGCCACAGCCCATACAACCACAGACAGCAATTATTTTATCGGCGGGCAAAGTTTGCACAGAAATGTACGATTTTTCCCATCCTCACCGACCTTGTCATAAAACTCGTTTAAATTATCATACTACGCCTCCTCGATGCTTTGTCGACCTCATGGTGCTTTTTGTTTTGATGACGCATGCGGCGGCCGTTGTGCGACACTGGTGGCTTGTGTTGCCAGATTGGGTGTTTTTTTCGCTACATATTAAGGCCTGTTTACGGTGTGTTTTAGCCGGGTTTTCGTCTGGAAGGCTCTATAGAAATCTGGCACCCTATTGAACGAAGTTAAACTGAGAGCGCGTGCGTTCACAGACACCAGAATGAACGAGTTCACAGTATCGTTCATCAGGCAGTAATACAGTACGTTCAGTTCACGTTCGCCCAAAATATGAACGAGTTCATGAACTATCGTTCAATGAACGCGTTCAGGCACAACACTGCTTTTAGAACAGGATGCCTTAAAACGCTGCTTACTGTACTGTATGTAGACAGCTCACTAGGCTTTGGAAAAGAGCCATTGTGTTGCTTAATAGTTGACTCCCTCATTTGGCCTGGTGAAAAGGCTCATTAGCACTAATAAGCTGCAGAAACGAGGCTGACAGTCCTGTCACAGACAGACCAGATCGAAACACACACATACACACTCTCGTCGTCATATATCTCGTTACGGTGCTCCGACTGGTCATGAACTGACCCTCAAACACACACTCATCACAGACGAGTCGTCAGGATTACAATCATTAGGTTGACCTGACTGTCAGAGTTCAGGTTGTCATTGATGCGGGCCCTCGCCTGACACTTCACTGCCGGGAGTGACCTCTGACCTCTCGCTGATTTCACTGTCACACTTAGTTTGAGTTTAACTGAATGTCCTTCTAGGGCACAATGAGAATATTGTTGAACTGATTGACAGTGGGCAACAGCATATCTTTGCACAAATAGACTCTTGTAAAACATTTTCATTTGATTTAATTCTCTCACTTTCTTTAAAGACACGGAAAAATAAGATAAAAACAAGATAATGTAAATATGAATCATGGGAATATATCGTTTTTTCCCCTATTTTTCTCACACTATTCCCTGTTTACTTGTCTTTGTTAGGGTTAGGAGTGTTAAAAGCCTGTTCATACCAAGTCGGATGCCAATAAATCTTTTTGTATATACAGTAATCGTGTTGTGCGTGTTTTTTTCATGCCAAAGATTCAGACATGCTATAAATAGGCCTTAATTTCCGATACTGGTACCTGTTCTGCACTCATGGTACCAGATCTGTCCAAACAGGGTTTGTCAAGCATTAGTGTTGCTTGATCGACCTGCCTGACCTCCATCATTGCTGCTTCCTTACCACCAATTAAAATCAAATCTCTCTCAATTACCTCAAATTATCGTAGATGTCAGTGCGACAAAAATATTGTCAAAACAATTATTTTTTACCATATGAGGTGCATTTAAAACATCCAGTGTGGATGATTTAGCATCGGTAGAGTTAATGTGAAATATGATCAGCGAATGAGGGCATAGCTTGTAACATGAGGCAGAGACATTAGGAAATGTGATTTGTCATATTTCACATTTATAAGAGATAATGGGGTAAAGAGATGGTGGAGATGATGAGTGTGATTGTAAGAGGGGGTGCATGGTGGGATAGCCGGTCCTCCATTCTGCATATCTGTATGTGTAACAACCTGCTTTTGTTGGTTTTTTTTGTCTTTCAGGGGCGCTGCATCAAATTCACCCGCGTTCACAGTTCACAGAGTCATTGACCAAACACAATGTGTCCTTTACTTTAAAGTGAGTTTTGATCAATTTTAAGAGACTACTTGGAAAGACCTTTTGAATATAGGGTTCAAATGTCACTTTTCAGGCACGTTCAGACAAGAAGGATTGGGGAATTCACCCCCGTATGGATACAGGGTGCACTGCAAAGGTGTACTTCTGAATCAAAACTATCAGATTTTAATTCTTACATGTATAAATCTATCCTGCTGATTTTTCTGCATGTGCTTTTATAACAATTCTTTTTTTTATTTATATTCTAGGTACAAATCAATATGGTGCCTTCTTGTGAGTGTATTATGAAGGGGTTTGTAAAGGAGAGAAAATGTAAATTATTATTTTTCAATATTAGTAGTAAAGATGTTAATTTTCCAGTTAATCGGTAAACATTTTTATTTAATTATTTGTTCTTATTTTTTATTTATAATTCGATTTAATCAATAGATTACATGTGTGATATGATTTGATAATGATGTAAATGGCATTTAAAATGCATTAAAATAAATAATAATACAGTTCACTTGTGAGAGTGTGATTTATGATGTAATAAATGATTTATGATGAAATGTTAAAGCCTGTAATACCTTTCAAATAAAATGTAAAATTGTTCATTTATGAGTTGATATAGTGAACACTGAATTCTTGATGTTAGTCAAATGTCCTGATTATGAATATGTGTGATTATATAGTGAAAGCACAGCTCAGAGCAGTTATTTAGGTAATCAGGGATTAATCTGAAGCACAATCAACAGACTGTTTAATGTTTGATAATAGCATGTTAGAATGTCTGGATATTCCAAATAATAATCCTAATCTTTTATATTATGAGAGATTATTTTGGCAAAAAGTACAATCGTGATTGAGAACCAGACATGTTATTTAAATATGAAATTGAAATGAGCTACATAACGAAATAAGTGATTTAAATCACAGTCATGAACACAATTAATAGTAAATGCATCATTTTGTAACGTATTTTTTCCCCTTTATTTTTTACTTTGACTGCAGTACCAGTAGCTATGTGGGACACAATGTTATTATTATTTTTATTTCACATTTATAATTGTATGCGATCAAACGAGAAACTAAATTTGTATTGATTTGGGCGAAACCTTTTTTTTTTTTTTATCTAGCCTACATTTAAACTTAATCTCAAATGATTTTTTTAGATACTTTTATGTAAAAGCTTTTTTAATTGTTTCATTTCTTTGCATATGCTCTGACTTGCTGTCGCATTGTGTGTCAGTCTGTCGCAGGATTTTAATGTCACACTCACACTCGTTTCTTCTTTAGCCTTTAGCTGGACGGCTAGCTGCCTGCCGGTGATCAACATGACGCACATATTCTGTTATTAAACAGAAATTAAGGAATATATAGGGCTGAATGGGATAGACGGCAGGTCTTTACGTGGAGGTGAGAGGTTTGCTGTAATTACACTGAGATCTAATGGCGTTAAAAGCCTAATCTAATCCTCTTTGAAGCGCAGTTGTTAGCCTGCAGCAGCTTCATATCAGCGCCACAAACAAAACATTTATGCATGTGCTACATTAATGTATTGCTTGTTAGGTTGTGTTTATGTCATATTAGCTTTCAGGAAAAAAACTAAGACTTTTACATTTGAATGCTATTTTAGTAGAAAAAGACAAAGTTATTTAAACTCCAATAGTAGCATAATTTGTCTCGGTTTAAATGCTAAACCGTTGTCTAGCTGAGCTGCTTTATGTGTTTTTGTTTGAGCTGATTTTGGGGCTTCAAAGATGCTGCCGCTTTTTCAGTCTGTGTTTGTGTGTTATTGACACAAATGAGACTTGTACAGCTGTATTAACTCTCCCAAGTTGCAAGTAGTGTCTTTTCTTTCTGTAACTGACCTGCCTTGTTCCTCAAGCCACTTGAGCCAAGATGCCTCAGAACCCACTCAAGAGCACCCATTACATCGAGCTGGGCAGCTACCAGTACTGGCCTGTGCTCGTGCCCAGAGGGATCCGCTTGTACACCTATGAGCAGATCCCAGTGTTTCTGAAGGAGAACCCGTACATCACAGACGGATACAGAGCACACCTGCCATCAAAACTCTGCCTCAAAAGGTGTGTTTCTTTCCCTTTTTGAAACTGTGGATGTGTTGACTTAGGTAAAGTTGGTTTTATATTCGCATATTCACACATTCGCGGACTTCCGCGTTCAATAACTCGTGAACTAAACGTTGTTGCTACACACAACACCTATCACATATAACTACAGATAAAACACCAGAAGCTACAACATAAATTTCCTCAAAACGATCTTTCCTTCGCACTGGACAAAATACATTGATCTCTATGCGCAGGCTGCTAAGAAGGGACCATCTGCAAAGTGCAAACCCGAAGGAAAGCTCGTTTTGAGGAGATTAAAATATTAAAACAATGTTATTTGTCATGTTCCAAAGGCTGTAGTATGTTCCTACTGACCAGACTGACTTACTACAGGTGGAATTTTGACAGTACCTCCCGTTCAGTATACAAATATTAATAAAAAAAAATACAGTAATTCCCCTAAAGTATTTTTTCCTGTTCCAAAGGCTGTAGTGCTTTCCTAGTGATCAGACTGACTTACTAGAGGTGAAATTTTGACAATAACTCCCTTACTGTACAATTATCAAATATATTTATGTAATAAACATTATTACATGTGTTTATTACATATGTTTATGTAATAAACTTTAATTCACCTATAGTGTTTTTTTATATTTATATTCCAAAGGCTGTAGTGCTTTCCTAGTGATCAGACTGACTTACTTCAGGTGAAATTTTGACAATAACTCCCTTACTGTACGTACAATAAACTAATAAGTTCCAGAAAAAATTACTGTAATTCCCCTAAAGCATTTTTTCCTGTTTCAAAGGCTGTAGTCCTTTCCTAGTGATCAGACTGACTTACTACAGGTGAAATTTTGACAATAACTCCCTTACTGTACGTACAATAAACTAATTAGTTGAAGAAAAAAATACTGTAATTCTCCTAAAGTATTTTTTCTTGTTTCAAAGGCTGTAGTGCTTTCCTAGTTATCAGACTGACTTACTACAGGTGAAATTTTGACAATAACTCCCTTACTGTACGTACAATAAACTAATAAGTTGAAGAAAAAATTACTGTAATTCCCCTAAAGTATTTTTTCCTGTTTCAAATGCTGTAGTCCTTTCCTACTGATCAGACTGACTTACTACAGGTGAAATTTTGACAATAACTCCCTTACTGTACGTACAATAAACTAATAAGTTGAAGAAAAAATTACTGTAATTCCCCTTAAGTATTTTTTTCCTGTTTCAAATGCTGTAGTCCTTTCCTACTGATCAGACTGACTTACTACAGGTGAAATTTTGACAATAACTTCCTTACTGTACGTACAATAAACTAATAAGTTGAAGAAAAAATTACTGTAATTCCCCTAAAGTATTTTTTCCTGTTTCAAATGCTGTAGTCCTTTCCTAGTGATCAGACTGACTTACTACAGGTGAAATTTTGACAATAACTCCCTTACTGTACGTACAATAAACTAATAAGTTGAAGAAAAAATTACTGTAATTCCCCTAAAGTATTTTTTCCTGTTTCAAATGCTGTAGTCCTTTCCTAGTGATCAGACTGACTTACTACAGGTGAAATTTTGACAATAACTCCCTTACTGTACGTACAATAAACTAATAAGTTGAAGAAAAAATGACTGTAATTCTCCTAAAGTATTTTTTCTTGTTTCAAAGGCTGTAGTGCTTTCCTAGTGATCAGACTGACTTACTACAGGTGAAATTTTGACAATAACTCCCTTACTGTACGTACAATAAACTAATAAGTTGAAGAAAAAATTACTGTAATTCCCCTAAAGTATTTTTTCCTGTTTCAAATGCTGTAGTCCTTTCCTAGTGATCAGACTGACTTACTACAGGTGAAATTGACAATAACTCCCTTACTGTACGTACAATAAACTAATAAGTTGAAGAAAAAATTACTGTAATTCCCCTAAAGTATTTTTTCCTGTTTCAAATGCTGTAGTCCTTTCCTAGTGATCAGACTGACTTACTACAGGTGAAATTTTGACAATAACTCCCTGTACGTACAATAAACTAATAAGTTGAAGAAAAAATTACTGTAATTCTCCTAAAGTATTTTTTCTTGTTTCAAAGGCTGTAGTGCTTTCCTAGTTATCAGACTGACTTATTACAGGTGAAATTTTGACAATAACTCCCTTACTGTACGTACAATAAACTAATAAGTTGAAGAAAAAATTACTGTAATTCCCCTAAAGTATTTTTTTTGTTTCAAAGGCTGTAGTGCTTTCCTAGTTATCAGATTGACTTACTACAGGTGAAATTTTGACAATAACTCCCTTACTGTACGTACAATAAACTAATAAGTTGAAGAAAAAATTACTGTAATTCCCCTAAAGTATTTTTTCCTGTTTCAAATGCTGTAGTCCTTTCCTAGTGATCAGACTGACTTACTACAGGTGAAATTTTGACAATAACTCCCTTACTGTACGTACAATAAACTAATAAGTTGAAGAAAAAATTACTGTAATTCCCCTAAAGCATTTTTTCCTGTTTCAAAGGCTGTAGTCCTTTCCTAGTGATCAGACTGACTTACTACAGGTGAAATTTTGACGACAACTCCCTTACTGTACGTACAATAAACTAATAAGTTCAAGAAAAATTACAGTAATACCCCTAAAGTATTTTTTCCTGTTCCAAAGGCTGTAGTGCTTTCCTAGTGATCAGACTGACTTACTACAGGTGAAATTTTGACAATAACTCCCTTACTGTACAATTATCAAATATATTTATGTAATAAACATTATTACGTGTGTTTATTACATATGTTTATGTAATAAACTTTAATTCACCTATAGTGTTTTTTAATATTTATATTTATATTCCAAAGGCTGTAGTGCTTTCCTAGTGATCAGACTGACTTACTACAGGTGACATTTTGACAATAACTCCCTTACTGTACGTACAATAAACTAATAAGTTCAAGAAAAAATTACTGTAATTCCCCTAAAGTATTATTTTCGTGTTTCAAAGGCTGTAGTGCTTTATAGTGACCTGACTGACTTACTACAGGTGAAATTTTGACAATAACTCCCATACTGTACGTGCTATTGTCAAATATGTTTATGAAAAATTAACTGTAAATGACTGTAACTATTTTTCCACGTTCCAAATGTTGTAGTACTTTCCTAATGACCAGTGTGACTTACTACAGGTGACATTTTGACAATATCTCCCTTACTGTATGTGTACTATTGTCAATTATGTTTATGAAAAAAATTACTGTAAATCACCGTAAGTATTTTTCGGTGTTTCAAAAGGTGTAGTACTCTCCTAGTGACCAGACTGACTTAGTTCAGGTGAAATTTTGACAATAACTCCCTTACTGTATATACTATTATCAAATAGGTTTATGAAAAATTACTGTAATTGACTAAGTATTTTTTAGTGTTCCAAAGGGTGTAGTGCTTTCCTAGTGACCTGACTGACTTACTACAGGTGAAATTTTGACAATACCTACAATACTGTACATACAATTATCACATGTTTATTTAAAAAAATACTCTAATTTCCCTAAATCATTATTTTCATGT